TCGACTGGGCTAGCACATCAAACAATTTGCCAGACTGCGCACCCGCCAATAGAGCCTCACGAGCTTGCTGTCGCAGCTTGTCCACATCATCAGCCACTTCTGCAGACGCGGGCTGTTGTGCACCTCCCAATACTTCCTGCAGTTTGCCGCTCTGGGCGCCTTCCAACAACAAGTCTCGCGCTTGCTGCCGGAGAGCATCTATCTCCTCTGCTTCCTGGTCTGTGGTGTCTGCTTCTGGTCTGGGTTCAACTGCAACATCCGGCTGGTCGGTCTGCTTGACTGCATCATCAGTGGGTACTTTGGACTCAGACAGAGGTGCACCCTGCAGGACTTCCATCAGTTTGCCACTCTGCGCCCCTTCCAGCAGCAAGTTTTTTGCCTGCTGGCGCAATTGATCTACGTCTTTAGCCTGTGCCTTCTTGCGTGCTTCCGCCTTCTTGGCACTGCTCTCGGCCAGGACATCAAAGAGCTTGCCAGACTGCGCACCCTTTAACAGGGCATCTCTAGCAACTTGCCGCAATTGATCCACTTCGCTGTCTGTTGAGTTGAGCTCGGCATCAGCTGCCTTGCAAGCTTGTCAAATGAAATGCGCAACCGCAACGGCATCCTGCGACAACATGGCCTGCGGCAGTTCAGCGCGGGAACTTGGGCTTGACGCTTTTGGACTTGTACCCTGGCGGAGAACCTGCGTTCAGCCAAGACTTAGCGCACAAATGTGCACAGCACTCCAGGAAATGCGACAAAGCCTCCAGCAGCTTGCCCGACTTGGCGCCATGTAGAAGTGCGTCACGGGCTGTTTGGCGCATCTCCTCGACAGTGGGAGTGTCCTGCAAGTTCGGTATGCTCAGTGCTGCGAGACACTCGCAATAATGGGCCCACGGCAGCATGGCGTCACAGCTAAAGCATTCATGACTGAACAGGCCTTCTTCGAGACAGACGCAGAGGCAAACTGATCCGCAACCTGTGCAAAAGAGGAGGATAGCATGCGGACAAGCTTGCTGTGAAAACCTATCCTCTAGCGAACCTTCACACACATTCGAGCTAATGCCACATGGGGCTCGCACGTACTTGTATGGATCATCTGGCCTCACTTTTCAAGCACTTTTGATGACACGAGGCACCGCAATTGCAGGGGTTTAACTCCCAAGCCGCGCCTGTCTCGGATAATACCCTGGAGGACACCCTGGATGAAGGTGAGCACCTTGCGAGTACAGTAATGTGGATCATTGATGATGAATTGCAAGGTCAAACCTCATCCCGCAAGAAACCAAAAGGCTGGCAAATGCTAACGGAAACGTATGGACGTCCAAATTTCTTGCCCGCACGTAGGCTTTTGGCATCCTCCTGCTGCTGCTACTGCTGCAGATGGCATCCGCTGCCATTGTTGCATTAGTTGGCGAACAGATCTCAAGCTTTCTACTGCACTTCACGGCACGGAACGGCTGACGGGTAACGCAGATTTGAAGGCTGCCAGGATGTTCGAAGCTAAGAGGCAAAAGAGGGGTGGGAAGCCCATTTCGAGAATCTCGATTTTGAATGTCCTGCGTTCGCGCGTTGAATATTTTCGCTTTTGGGTGTTTGACAACACCCAACCCACTGGGCAGCTGCGGGAGATATTCAGCCATGATGAATCCCACTCCGTATTTAAGGGTTTCAGTCCAGTTTTGGCCATGCCGCCATCAGCAAGCTTGCAACACGGAGGCAAGTGCATGGCACCAACACTGAGCAGATCAGGCTTCATCACAACGCAAGAGGAGCGAATGGCAGGGCTTCGGCTACAATGGAGGACGTGCTGCAGCTAAGGGTTCACCATGGTTGAAGCCACACCAGTCCCCGTCATACTAGAGCTTTGGGTCAACCTCAAAGACTGAATACTACAATCTTGTGCTTCAGTTTGAGCCTACTCTGAAAACGGTCGATGAAAGAGTGTTTCGGGCGAAGAGGGAATACAGTGGCTGAGTCAAGAAAATCTTTCGAGCCAGAAACACCCGGCTGGTTGCAGATCGTTACTTCCGGGTAGCCAATCACATGAAGCCCAGAACAGGTAGTTCATTCTTGCAGATGCTAGCCCAGGCCCGGAGATCGTGGAATACCGGAAGAACAACGGCTATCATCAACGACCGTTCAGCCTTAGACCTGGGGAGATGTGTGAACGTGCTTTTGTTGAACCCGTGACTGTGCCAAATGAAAAAAACTTCCATTCTCCTCATCCGCACTCTTGATTGATGAAAAACTAAAATAATGTCTGCACTCAACTATCACATGTACTGTAGACCTGTTAAAGAAAAAACATGCTAAGTACAAGTAGACAGTCAGCAGAAGTAGCACCAGCTAGGGTAAGAGCTGACTGTATTTAGGTTTCAATGAGAGGTTTCAGTTGGATCATGAATTGGTTTAAATGGTCATTTACCTGATTCTACATAAACTGGTTTGTTTTCCAATGTAAATTCCATTGGTAATAAGAAGATTTCCAATTCAATATAAATTGCACTGGATTTTAAAGTCTGCCTTGAAAAGATGAAGTTCCGAAACGAATGAACCCGAAAACATTTTCTAGATCCTCTCAAGCCAGGTTGGTAAGGAGTAGCTCAGGGAGCAAGCGTTTGAGCCGTTGATCCTAATGAGTTCGAAAGTCCAAAAATCAGCCGTCGTATTTTTCAAAGACGAATCATCCTTATTCAGGACTCGAGGTTCCAAAATTCGAATGTTTGCGTTTGGACCCCAAGGACAAGGACTTCAAGCAAAACTTTCAACCTGGACCTTGATTTTTGGGTCAGCAACTTTTTTCCTTACTTCCAGGAAGCTCTTTTTGCACAAAATGCCTACTTTGCTTCACTTCAAATCCTGGGATATGGGCCGGTGGTTGCCCGTTTCACCATACGCAGACAGCGGCTCCTAACGAACATATCAAGGCGACTCCGGCTTTGCCACAATAGCAAAATATGCTTCGAGTTTCCACTGCGACTTCTGATCGCGACTTCTGATCGCTTGTAAAAAATATGTATATGAATCCTGCTGCCACCAGCTGATTCACAGGGCTGTGGATTCCCAATGTGTCTGTAGCAAGAAGGCTTGACCGGTTTTGGGTGAGGCTTGGCGTTGTGAAGGAGAATCTAGCATTGGACATGGAGAAAGCAGGCTAGTGTTCACTCGGGCTAAGCTTGGCACACCATGGTTGTGCAGGTACTCCTCCGTCGCACTTGCCATCGCCTTTTTCTTTGCTGCGCGCTCCTCATGTGACCTCAGCCATTCAATGTAAGTTCTACCTGCTGCCAAAACATCGTGTCTCCAGCGACTGCCGCACAGTCTGCGGCTCTGACATTGCTGGAGCCTCGCCTGCAGTAAGTTTGCCAAGCTTGCGCGTCCCGATGTCTTTCCAATACTGAAGCCTGACCCTGCCTGATGAGCTTCGCACCAGCAACGAGATCTGCACAATGCAACATGGGCTTGGAAGTTTACATGCACACTCGAACTGGGCTTGCAGCTGAGCATGGCCATGCAAAAGCAGTACAATCTTCAGTTTGGTTTTTAAGGGCCCTTGGCAAGAAAAAAACCGTTGCCAACGGAAACTCGGTGCTGAGCGTGCACAACACTTGAGGGGGAACGCCGAGGAAAGCTCACAACTGCTGGCAGGCACAGATTTTGTGAGGGTCAGACGAGGGAGGCTAAAACCCAAACTCTGAAGGAAGCTCATGAGCACATAAGTGTGTGCTCGATCCTCGAACCGTATCGCCCTGCGGCACACGGCGGGCGCCCCTACCCCTGCATGCTCCCCACCCCCCAAAGAAAGAATCAACTTCGAACCTCGAAAATTTAACCTGAAGTAGAATCAATAGCTCACTGTCTTCCGAACCTAGTCTGCCCCTACTTAAACAAAAGACAACTAAAGCCTAGCTACACTAGCTTTCACAATGACCGTTTGATGGCAAGACTGTTCTTTGTTGCAAGTCCTCTTCTAAGTCAGCACTTAAAAGGGGAGAACCATCATCCAGCATTGCTTGAAAGCCTGTTGATGCTCCAAATGAATAGAAACCCTCCTGGCACATAACGTCTTACAGCACCTGCATAAACGAGCAATGCCGAACGTACATAAGTTAACATGAGAGTAGCTTGCCTGAGCTTCTTCGCTGGCATACAATGCCTCACGTTACAGAGCTCAACAGGATGTCAACTTTCCGACCACTTGCACAACCTCTGGGGAGGTCTTCTTGATCATCTTCATCTCGACATCTTGCTCACCTGCCATGATAAGCCGTGTGCGAAAGTCCAGGCGCATGCCGCAAAGTACCAACTTGGCCTTCCGCTTGGAGGATGGCTCGCGCTGATGCCGTCACTGTCATGAGGTCGACCTGCAGCCCATGCGGCCCATGCTGCCCATGCGGCCCGTGCAGCCTGCAACTTTGAGAATTAACATGTTGGATCTCGGGGCATGCCTTGATGGCACCACATTCAGCGAGTTGACATGGAAACCTCAGAGGGCACATTAACCAAGACGGCTTTTTGGCCACGCATGCCGAGGCGTTGGCTTGAATGGCTTGTCTGCCAGTGAGACAGGCACCTGGCTGGGCTTTGAAAACCCCATGGAAGTCTGCGAACAGAACAGCCAAACTCCCAGGCCTGTCGACGTGTGGTGCCAGCTCGTATGGAGATGATGGTCTCGGGCGACACGCCTCCGCCGCAGCCGGGGACGAAATTAAACCAGCTGTGACAATCAAGAAGGCTGATTGTCCACGCTGTGCCTTTGGTGTCTTTGAGCAGAATCTCCATGGCCTCAAAGAAACAGTTAACTTCTTGACACCTCATGCCCACGCCGCATCTGCCCGACAGGTCGCTGGCAGCACTGAAGGAGCCGATGGGATTGCAACAGAGCTGTTGTCTTGCACGCTTGTTATGCTGTCTTCCTGCAAAATACAAAATTTCTTGGTCCTGGCTTTGCTGAGGAAACACTTGTTGCTCGAGGTGCGCTCGGCTCTTTGCAGCTTGGCTTGGGCCTTGCGACTTTAAGCCAGATGATGTCGGAAAGGTGCGCCCAGGCCAGATTTGCATCAGAATGGGTACTGTGACACAAACTGTCAGGCCCTCGAAGAACTCACAAAACCAAATCTTGCCCGACAAGCTCGCAGCCGCGCTTGCACATCCGCGCAAACACAGAGCGCAAATCTGAGCAATCCACATTTCCACCGACCGTGGAATGGCGAAGAAGCAGCTCAAGTTATCTGCTTGGCCAACAGCCATCAGCTCTTGATTCCACGCACCGCACCAGGTGCAACCTTTCAGGCCCGAGCACAGTTTCAAAGCTGGAACAACTGGCAACGACAGCCTCCTGCTCTTGCCCATGGAGCCATCTG